TTGACACAAAAATTTTTCATTTCTTCGGCAAAAAGAATTTATTGCGTACTTAATTTGCACTCGCACCTCAAAGCGCATACTTTACGCAGTTTGACAAGACTTCATGTTCTCATCGGTGTTGGTGATAATTTGTTTCTCCCACGCATTTTCTTACAAATCTTTGTTGCCCTTTGATAATTCTCACAAATTAATAATCAAGTGTAGATGAGGTGCGAGAAAGTTTCTCGCTGTAGTGTATTTTTTTTGCAATTCATACTTTTCAGTGTAGCTCTCTTCCTGTATATATTATATTTTGCCCATCAATTCATGTACTCGGCTAGATAAATTAACTTGCATAAACCATTATTACAAGTATATTTTATATTTACAAAAGTGATTCCACAGCATTTTACAATTTTTGTAAATACATTGAATATTTTTTCATATCCAACAAATGTGTACACTTCCTGATGCATCTTCGCTAGCCAAGGTTAGTTTATTCAGTCATCGCTTCAATTTTACACCAAACACTGAGCATAATTATCTAGAATGGAAACTGAAAAATAAGTAAATAATGATTAAAACAGTGTAAAAAGCTGCAGTAAACAATGCAAACTGATTTCAAATTGTAAACCGGTCACCGGCGCAAGGAGTCCATGCAGAATATTGGAGTAAACAATTATTTCCTCATCAATTGCGATGTGTTCCAAATAGAAAATATTTTATTCCAGTCCAAATGATCAGCTCAATCACTTATAAATAGTTATTGTGTACAAAAAGTTTGATACATTTTGATGAATTCTTAAAGCTACGACTTCAATACCGTAGATGAGTTTGTCAACAAAACATCACCCGTCATCATCACTCCCGGAATAATTATGCAAAATAACGACTTAAACTGGAACCATTTAAGCCACATTATTAACATAAAAATCATAGATGACTTTCGTTGCATTTGACAATGACAAACTTAGCGAAAAGCCGATCATTTTTATCAACCATTTTTTTTAGTGTGTTTGTGACCTGATTCTGACCGGTGATGTCATCACGTGCGCTATATAAGGAGGTCTGTGATTCGTTGACTAAACCAGTCAGAGGAGGTCTTGTTGAAATCTTGTTACATAGGCATTGGTTCAGATGTATGTGGCAATAGTTAAAAGTATATTGAATCACAAGTACAAAAAAAAAACATAAAAAATACAAAGTAATTGAAAAAGACTAGTAAAAGTAAAATAAATATTTTAAATAAAATACACGCCATGCAGATTTTAATCAGCTTGGTTAATAACAGAATACATATTTAGATGATTTCTTGTCACTTTTTAAATAAATTGTGTTATATTACAGTTTATGCCATGTATCATGTCTGTTCCGTGGGACATGTTTCCATGTTTCCTGAAAATACATTTTGAGTTGAATGTAAAACATTTTTGGTGGAATTTATTTTCACTAATTCTTTCAATCAGCGAAAATAGCAATAATAAATTGCAAACGAAAAAAAAAAAAAAAAATTTACAATATCTAATGGGCTATTTGATGATCTGATTGGTTGTTGAACTCATTTCAAAATTGTGACATAATCTCCAAAGATACCAAAACATCACTTGTATGATGACTAGGCAATTTTGTTTTAAATAACAATTTGGAAATATTAAATTATGTATGTGCTGCATTCTGGTAGTTTCAGACGTTCATCTCAATTCCTTGTATATATAGACTTTTCTATTTTTTATTCTCCCTATCCAAACTTAGCAGTGTATAGGATTGGCTTTCCCAATGTGTAAATGTGTAAAATGTGTAAAAATCCATTGATAATTAGTAAAATGTTATTATGTGTCTGTAAAACCATAAATATATTGATTTCCCCCCAAATCAGACAGTAAACTTTATTCAAAGAAGAGTGGTCAATATGCAAATGCTATTAAATGCACTAAGAATCCTTTGACACACTCGTAGAGTTTACGATTCCAATGTATTTATGGTGACAAAAATCTCCTTGCCATTGACTATGTTTAATAACTGGAAAACGGGGACTACCGTATTAATTTGGGTTCCATCTGTCTGTCCGTCCAGAGCCATTTTTTAGACACCCTTTGACTGATCTTGTTCCAACTTGGCTTACAGACAATGTATGATCTACATATGTAATCATATTTTCGTTATGATATGATTAAATATGGCTGACTGGCAGCCATTTTGATGTTTAAAGGTGTCCAGAACTGTTTCTCTGAGCTGAACAGAGTGATTTCAATCAAATTTTGTATGGTGATCATGCATATTTGGTTATAAGTGCATGTTACTTTTTTTCAAGATTCAGACCAAGATGGCCGACTGGCGGCCATTTTTTTCTTCCCTTTTCGTGCTGATTTCTCCATAAAGATATGGCCAGATTCAGATTCAAACTTTGTACATAGGTACTAGACTTTATGGTAACACAACACCATGTTTTGTTTTGAGATTTGATCAAATCTGTCGAAATGGCAACCATTTATTTAATATCTCAAAATCAGTCTGTAATGTGTCCGGAACTGTTTCTCAGGGCTGAATAGGGCGATTTCAATCAAACTTTGTATGACGATCATGTATATTGGATTACAGTTGCACGTCACACTTTTTTTCTAACTCTGAACCGACTCACGGCCATTTTGTTTTTTCTTTTTTGTGCTGATTCCTCTGAAAGATATTTTTCCTGATTCAGTTCAAAGTTTATACAGAGGTAGTATACTACAAGGTAACACAACAACATGTTTTGTCTTGAGATTTGATCAAATTTGTTGAAATGGTGTCCATTTTGTCAAAAAAAACATAAAATATCATTCTGTAACATGTCCGAAACTGTTTCTTGGAGATGAACAGGGCGATTTCAATCCAACTTTGTATGGTGATCATGCATAATTAGGTTACAATGCAAGTCATATTTCTTTTGAAGAGACTTGAACAACAATGGCTGTGTTTTTCTTTCATGCTATTTCTTCTGTAAGATACATGTATAGTACAATTCAGTTAAAAGTTTCTATGTAGTTACTATACTGACACAATCTATAATCTGTGTTAGTGTTAGAAAAACATGGATCTTTCATTTCTACATGTCACTTGTGCTGAACATTTACATCGACTACAGCTAATACTGAATGGGGACTATGCATTATCAGTGTTTGTTTATGTCTTTTTCGGATCCCCACTATTATGACACCTTACTCATTTGAAAGATTGCACACAAGTACTATACTCACAATATCGTAAGATGTGTTATTAGTTCTCTTGGAAACATGAACTTATGGCTTATACTTATCAGCCTTGAACTTTATATCAGATATATATATATAATCACATGCATTTGATTCATGGTGAATTGACTCAAGATGGCCGAATGGCAGCCATTTAAAAAAAAAATGTATCCACCAATAGCTCTCTGTTGATGAGTTCCCTAGTTTTGTGTGTGTGTGTGTGTGTGTGTGTGTGTGTGTGTGTGTGTGTGTGTGTGTGTGTGTGTGTGTGTGTGTGTGGCTGTGGCTGTGGCTGTGGCTGTTGGATTATTGGCCATGAGCTCTCGTCAAATTCAGCACTTGAACTTGTGAGTGTGACATTTTGATGACATTGAATAGTCTAAATACACTGATAACCCTGCATATAAATAAGGACATTACAGTGTAACTACAATAAAGTTTTGATATCAAATAATGTTTTCCTGTTCACTGATATACTAAAGATGTGTATATTAGATTCATATTCAAATATATTTACATTTAGTGAAACCTGTCTTAACTGAAAACCAATATGACTTCTGTCTACAGATAATCAGTCCATAAAGTTTGTTTATATAAGCTTGTCAAAGAATGAAGAAACAAGTAAAAGTGTTTTGTTTAGACAAGTTTCTGGTTTACAGGGTTCTGTTGAATTTTCTATGCTAAACTTTGTAGAAGCTTAAATTTGTTATTCAATTTGTTCAGATTCCAGCCAATTACAAGCAGTTAACATCGTTGGTGATGATAACAAACAAAGCAAGACAGATAAGGAAGAAGACACATGTTACCAGCAGACAGCCTTACAAATGAATTTATTAAGTGTTGTGTTCAACTCTGATCTAGACAATGGTGATATACAGAAATGAATAATACAAATCAGAATGGAGAAAACAGAAGGATAGAATGGTGAGTTAACTAGCTTACACCTCTCAGCACAAGTTTGAATTTCTATATGTTGCATGTATAGGGTAATCTCGATACTCTGTTCAGGAGTATCTCAACTAGTTTTTCATTAGAAGGTGGTTGTAGTCTAATTAGCCATCTTCTACTGTCCATAATGACTTAATAGCCGCCTACTTTTCTTAATACTGTTTGTAGAAGAATACAATTTAACTGTCTTTATTCTTGATTTGGTCGTTTGTCAAGATATCATTGGTTTACTGATAATAGAAATGTAGGAAATTGGCCATTATATGCTGACTTTAAAGATTCAGTCATCAAAAACTATTTTATCATTTTTTTTACATTTTAATTTTCCAAATTGACCGTCTTTGTAAATAACTGTGATACCGATTAAACTAGTGAACTTAGCTGTGAATCTTTCTACACTTACCTAGGGATTCTACATGGAAATTGATGTGTCCCTAGTTATCTAATTTTTTCCCAACAGCTAGAGTTTCCAGATTAATAAATTCCTGGAGGTGACATGGACTGACATCAATAAATGTTTGGTTTAGACATGTTTCTAGCTTACCCAGGGGAATGTATATGGTAACAGTATACAATATATTTTTCCACAGATGCGGAAGATGAAGTGCCGAAATGGGAAAAAGAATTACAACAAGAATTGCAGGTTAGATGAATTAATATCGTCATAATTCATTCAGTGCGAAGAACTCCTAATAGTTTACTATGTTTATGTCATACAATGACTGATTTAAATAATCTGTGAAACGTTTAAATTACTGGAAGTGAAAACACATCTCCTTGTTTGCCTTCTGAGGGCGCTGTCCTCTATTTGATAATACCCAATTATGTATAATGCAAAGTGAGTTCAGTCATTCCATTCCAAATAATTTAAATAATAATTAAATAATATTTCAAGTTTTGTTTCTAAATTCTTTTTTACTGCTGAATCAAATGAACATAATTTCCTACTAGTTGCATATCAAAATGAAAATTCAAAAAACTATGAAAACAAAAAGTTATGTTCATGTCATCAGGCATAATTGTAGTCCCTGTTGGGACGCAGTCCAAAAACAGAGATTTTTCGATTAGTCTTTGTGTGTGTGTCTATTTGTCCATGTGTTGATCTGTGTCTCCATCCAGACCTATATCTTAGACATGCCAGGACCGATTACATTCAAACTTCACACATATGTCATACCATGGACGTACTAGAGATGGACGCTGCATGGTGATTCACACCTGATAAGACGCATTGTCTTTCTATTGTACTCATCTTAAATTTATGAATAGGCAGACGTACTTTCATCTTGGCTGAGTTGCCGCCCGATCTTAGTTTTGATTTTTCACGACAAGATTTAAATCTTAAATTTTATATTATATTGGGTCCAAAAAAAAATACAGACCTTGCCCGTGAGCTGGTGCAATGTTAAGTTGTAAAACGAAGTATATTCTAGGCAAGTTTACGAGCATGTTTGTACCGATCTTCTGCACTTGTTAACAATTTTAATTTAATATTGCCAGTAAACCCGGTGTGAGCGGATGACGATTTTTTTTTCCGATGTTCAATTCGAGTGAAATTTACAGATGGCACAAAGCTTGAAATTTTCGGAATGTTCGGCCGCCATAATTCAATGTTAAACAAGGACTTCTTTAACATTAGCTTTCACGTTCATGGTGGGCTCTCGCGAGAAACAATACTGCTGTTCGTCCTTTTCGGGGACGGCTGAGTCGACAGTTTCAATGTCTTCAATATCAAAATCATTATAGTCTAGTTCTAAAATGTCGGGATCAACAAAATCACAACCGAAACCTAACATTTTCTGTTGCCTGTTCGTCGCCATTTTGTTTTCTCTTAACGATCGCAAACAGATCGTTGGGGCGCTTGGAACAAAACGAAGATGAACTGAGCGGCAACGCACTTACATCAAAACAAGTAAATACTGTGCAGCGTTCATCTCTAGTACGTCCATGGTACTGAAAAATCATCGAAATAAAGCATTTCTGGCATTCTCGGCTGTTTACAGATGGATTTTGTTCAAATATGGTACATACATTGTACTTCATGGGTCCTTGATGTATGTCATTTTGTTTTTCAGATCGGATTAAAAATGGCCAACTGGTGGCCATTTTATTTTAATGAATGTGGTTCTAGTGCCATTTCTCTGCTTTGACTGATTATATATTTTATATATTCTAGATACATCATGTCATAGATGAACAGATGTATTCAAAATGGCCGACAGGTGGCCATTTTGTTTTAATGAATGCGGTTCTAGTGCCATTTCTCTGACATGCTTTGACTAATTATATATTTTTTATATTCATTGTACATCATGTCATAGATATACAGATGTATTCAAAATGACCGATCGGTGGCCATTTTGTTTTAATCATGTTCCAGAGCAATACCTTTCAATATGGACAAGTACTCGTTTGATGATCAGATACAAGTTGACTGAATGTCAATCATTTTAATGTTAAAAAAATCATCGAAATCAAGCATTAGCTTCTGGATCCAAATTTATGTTCCAACTAAATTACTATAAACAAAACTGTATACCTTAAATTTGTTAACTAACGGGGACTGTGCCATGCATGGCTCGTCTTTGTGAATAGTAATCAAAGTTTATGTGACATTCACAGATTTAAATATTTGCAATAAATAAACTAAAATTATGTCAATCAGACCAAACCTAATTGTGTTTGTGATAATTTCTGTAAAGACATTTTTACACTAATGACAAGTCTCAGTTACTTCTAAAACCAGACATGTGAGTTTTGTTATTAATCCAACTCTGTTCTTCATTCACATCTCTAGGAATATGAAGTTGTTGAAGGAGAAGGCACTGGTGATAATGAACAATGGGAGGATGAAATAAACCAAATGTTA